AAACCCCCTAACTATACAAGCTTCTAGTTACTTGCTTTTATCACTAATTTTAGAGGTCATGTACCTAAGCTATATACTCACATGAATTTTGCTGCAGATAACACCTCTGGTGTGTGGATCAGATGGTAATTGCTGCCTATGTTGTATTTCAGGAAATTGGAGGCTACTTTAATCTACCTCAGACACGCTGAATTGAAGAATGTGAGCTTAAAGTGAATATTATAAAACAATCTTCAGAACTCAAAATTTATTCTGTAATTCAGAATTTCAAAACTCAACAAGGCTTTGAATTTATTATTAACATCTTTTTCAATAAAATTTTGCTCAGCTTTCCTTTAGTTGTCCTAAACTTCCTTCACCAAGCCACATTAATTCCTCAGTGTGTACTTTCAACACCTGGTCTGTCTCTTGCTTAAGACCAATTATGTGTTCAACCATACTTACCGAGAGCCTGCCAGGCGCCCACCAGGGACTTTTCCAGGCAGCAAGAAGGGCAGTGAGCTGTTCTGCTCTCAAAGAGCCTGCAATCTAGTGGTGGAAAATAAGTTACTACAAACTCTGTGAAACAGTGACATATAGAAAAATAATACAGGGCAGGGGAGATACAGTGACTTAGAAGACAGGGGGGCCTTGCTTTTTGTTGTTGTTGTTTTATTTTTATTTATTTAATTTTTTTTACATAGCCTTGGAAGGCCTTTCTGATACAGTGACATCTGAATGGAGATCAAGAGGAAGAGTGGAGTGAGAGCCTTGTATACCTGGGGAGACCTTCCAGGCTCAGGGAATGGTGAGCCCAAAGGCCCTGAGTTGGACTCACGTTCCCATGTTCAAGGACTGAGCATTAGACCGAGAGGCAAGAGCAAAATGAATGAGAAAGAGTGTAAGGAACTGGGATCACACAGCAAATGGAGCCAGAATGGCGTGCTGGTACTCCAGGAGGCCGAGACTTTGGCCTCTATCCTGAGATGGAAATTCTGAACCCTCTCTATCGCAATCTTTAGCCTTCTATGAAACACAGAATTTCTGCTCAATTTTTCTGTAAACCCAAAACTCTTAAAATAAATAAATAAAGACAATTAAGAGAGTGGGAGATGGGGTTTGGTGCTTTAGGTTGCTTCAGCTTTCTACCTGGCAGAAACCTCTGAGGTCAGAAATCAGCCCTGACCACCTGATTTAAATGTTAGGGAGACAGTGATTTTTGGAAGACAGTACAGCCATGAGGAGAAAAGACACACATTTACATTTTAAGAAACCATGCTTCCACATTCACCAACCCCTCTCACCCAAAACAGTAAACTGCTGGGCAGTCGAAGTTTTTCTTGCACCATGAGGCCCCACCCCCACCCCAGGGACCTGCATAAAGAAGATTGTGTCCCACAGTGACAGACATTTGCAATAGAATCCACGCATTTGTTGTGGTGGTGGTTCTTTGTGTGTTTTTAGTGTTCTTTGTTTTATTTTTGGGCTACAATTGGTCTACCAAAACATTAGGCACGCACCCATGATACCATCACCACAACCAACATACTAAACATATTTTTCACCTCCTGAAATGTCCTTTTATTCTGTGGTTTTCTTGGATATTTTAGATGTGTGGTAAGAAGTTGAGATCAGGTCTCTGGGCATGTTTTGAAGTGCACATAAGGTACTGTTAACTACAGGTTCATGTTGCCCAGCAGATCTCTACAGCTTTTTAATCATGCATAACTGAAACTTTCTCCCCATAAAACAACCCCCACGTTTCCCTCCCCCAGCCCTTGGCAATCACCATCCTGTTGTCTGCTTCTGACCTGGTGTGGAGGGATATTCCCTACTCTCCCTTTTACTTATGATGATCAGTCTGGGCCAGTGATTCTCACCTACTCTCTCTCTCAGGATCTTAGAACACCTCAAACCCTCCCCCCAAAAAACACCGATTTGTAATGCATTCAGTTACAAACCCCAAGCTCCTGGAGGGAGACCAGGATGTGTGCACTGGGGAAACCTCTCTAGGAGACTGTGTTGTGCCACTCTGATTAAGAACAACTGAATTCATTCACGCAGATGAGCCCTGACATCTAACTGCTCGGGCACGTCCCATTTGGCTGGGGCCCCAGCAAAGGGGTCAAAAGGCTGATGGGTCAGGACTGGCATAATCCAGCTGTCCCCAAGCAGGGCCCTGTCAACTATGAAGTGAAGCACTGTTCAAAGCGAAAAAGCTCACGTCTCCAGGGCCAGGTGGACTGCAAACAATCGCTCTCCCAACGGCGGAAGCTGGTGCCTGTTGCCAGCAACTTCAGCTTGGAAGGTTGACAGAACGAGTCGAGTCGTGAACACTGTGATGAGATGCGTGGAAGCAGCAGTGGGACCAGCAGAGCGTGGAGTGAGCGAGTGGGTGCTTAGGAAGGCTGGTTGCCCCATGCAAGGATCTCTAAAGAAAATGGAGCTGCAGGTGTCCCTCTTCTTGGAGCCTGGACTGGGAGAGCCTGGTGTCCTCAAAGCAAAATGGCCCTCACTCTAGACCAAGGCTGAGCCCAGCAGGAACTTCAACACAGGGGTCCCACTCCACCCTCAGCCTCATTTTCTGCTCTTCAATAGACACCACTGAGAATGCCTTGACTTCAAATTACGTAGCCAGCAGCACCAGAAGATGTGGTTAAATAAGAGTGGGGGGAGGTGGTGATCTGGTCATAGCACCACACCATACACATCACTTAAGTGTTTTTTAAAAATCAGACTATTAAAAAGAGTATTGGTGGATATCTAGTCCTGGTTGGGAAAACACCAAGTTTAAAAAAAAAAAGCAAAAGAAACTACAAAGGAATTACTGAGATTCCAAAGTAAAAATGTTTGGAGATCAAGGTCATCAAAAGCCATTGTAAATCAAAGGAAAACAGCATGCTAAGAAACTATTTGCAACAAATTTCACCTTCAAATTAGTTTGAAATACAAATCGAAAGCCATCTGCCTATTTACTCATTCTTCAACATTTAGTTTAGTGGATGGTGGGAGATCCAGCCCAAGGCCACCCAAGTGAATCTCAGAGCTTGCCCCAAAGGTCCTGGATCCATTGCAGCTTCCCACAACCCAGTGGCTCTGTACTTTAAAGTATGTATACATCATCTTTTACAGGGGTCTTCAAATTTTCTTGGAAGATAATCTTAAAGACTGGGCCAGATTTGGGGACAAAGACTATCAAGATCACTACAATGTCCCCTGCACTCAAAGTCTAATGTGAACTTAAACATGGCCTAGAACTCAGGGAACGTGGCCTCAAGTTCATCAAATACTACACTCCCTATCATGCTGTTTCCAGATCCAGGATTCATTTACGGACATGGCAAATGAGGGTGCCTGTTCTCCTCACAGCTAGTGTTGGCAAAGTGGAAGGGATGGATGGAGAGAGACTGATCTGGGAGTCAGAACTATTTCTGGGATGCTTCAGTGGGTGCTTAGATGGAGCCCACAAGTGCTCAACCAGCCCTTAACTTGGTCTAATCTGCAGAGATGAAGACCAAGGCTCCAGGGTGAAAAAAAGGTCTCTGCCTCTTATTAGTTGCCAAAAATTCAAAGAAATCACTGAAGGTAATCAAATATTTCTCTGTTTGGAAATGACTAGAAGCAGGTGGGGAATGGTGGGAAATGAGAGGAACTAAAATGAAATATGGCTTCCTACAGTGCTGTGGGGCCTGTTATGTGACACAGTGCTGGCCTGAGACCCACTGTTGAAAAAGGAGGAGAAGGGGTATGGAACAAAGGGACTAATACCGACAGGCCACCGTCCCAAGCGCCAATGACAGACAGCACCATGCATCTGTCAAACCCAAAGAACTGCACAACACAAGCATGAACCCTAAGGCAGGCCATGTTCTCTAGCTCCTAATAACGTACCCACTTCAGTCTATCAGTCCCAACACACAGGCGACACTGACACAAGATGTGAATAAGCAAGGAGACAATGTAGGACCAGGCAGCATATACAGGAACCCTACACAGGAACTTACAGTCAACCTAAAACTACTCTAAAAATGAAGTCTAAAAACTAGAAATGGAACCACCATTTGACCCAATTATCTTACTCCTGGGCATATACTCAAAGAACTTAAAATCAGCATACTACAGTGACGTTCCCACATCAATGTTTGTAGCAGCTCAATTCATAATAGCTAAACTATAGAACCAAACTAGATGCCCTTCAACAGATGGATAAAGGATAAAGAGAAGAAATCATGGCATTTGCCAGTAAATAGATGGAATTGGAAACTATCTTGCTTAGTGAAATAAACCAATCCCCCCAAAAAACAAAGATTGAATGCTCTGATATGTGGATGCTAACTCACAATAAGGGTGGTGGTAGGAGAGAATAGAAGTACTTTAGATTAGACAAAGGGGGGTGAAGGAAGAGAGGGGGGATGGGAATAGGTAAGACAATAGAATAAATCACTTCCCTATGTTTCATATATGAATATCTAATCAAAGTAATTCCACATCATATACAACCAGAAGAATGAGAAATTGTAATTCATATATGTATAATGTCAAAATACATTCTACTGTCATGTATAACTAAAAAAAAAAATGTTTTAAATGTCTTATTGAAGAAAAAAATAAAGTCTAAGCCAAACAGTGACACACATCTGTAATCCAAGCAACTTGAGAAGCTGAAGCATGAGCATTAACAAGTTTTAGGCCAGCCTCAGGATTTTGGAAGATTCTTAGCAACCTAAGCAAGACTCTGTGTTAATTAAAACAAAACAAAACTGAGGATGTAGCTCACTAATAGGGTGCTTGCTAGCTTACAGAAGGCCTTGCCTGGGTTCAATCCTCAGCCCTTCAAAAAAAAAAAAAGTTCTCTTAGTTTAAAATTGACACATCTTACTCTCCCACAGTGTAGGCAGCACATAGTCTGCATTTGAATGTCATGTTTAAAGGAAGACAATGAAGTAGGGTAGGTCAAGAGCTGACAGGTCAAAAGATTCTCCTTTCTTCCCCCCAAACCAAACAAGGGTCCACTTCATCAGTGTATTTCAAACAGTTATTTTTATTGATCCGGCAAATGCAAAATATACAAATTTCTCAAAGGCATCCCCTGTTTAAAAGCTAGCACAGCTTCATTCCAGGTCATTAATTCAGACAAATATACAGAACACAGGAGTCATAAGTCATACATAAGAGGCCCCCAAAACCGTTAACAATTAAACCCCATCTATACAGCTTTCTATTTTTTAGGCTCCCTTATACATATTAAATAAATAAATAGCACATCTGCTATCAAAATAATAAAAAAATAAATTTCAAGTATTACAAACGAAAATATCATTGGTGTGGTTCAAACAGTTTTTCTTCCCCAGAATGCTTTGCCCATGGTTAAAGGAAAGGGGGAAACTTACCCAAAAAAACAAATATGGCATAAAGTTTAAAAAATTGGTCCCAGTTTTGTTTTCTTTTGGGGGGGTTGGAGGTTGGGGTGGGGGTAAGACAGGAGAAGCAGAGGTTCCAGGACTGCATGTCAGATGCACCCACCAACCGACACCCCTTCAAAAGTCAGGTTACTGGCTTTCAAATGAAGCAGAATTCTCCCTTCTCCAAGATCTCTCCCTGACCTTATCCACATGCTCTCCCCATCTAGTCTCCCACCAAACTAAAGTCCTATGTTAGGCAAAATCCTCTTCATGTGATTCCGGGTCCCCAGGGGTGAGCGGGGAACACACCCTCAAGGAGTCCCTACCTGTATCAGCTCATAAAGGATAGGGCCAGGGTGGCAGCTACGAGACCACCCTCAGGTGCAAAGCTACAGGGCTCTCAGGTCCAAAAATATGAGCAGCCTAAATACTCATGCACATGCATGTGCCGCACACACAACCTGACCTGACTCAAAATACTGGGGAAAGGAAGGACCCCAAGTCTTACGCTGTAAGGACTGTACACCTAGATAGTCCTGCTCTCTGGAAGACTGCCAATTAAAAAAGGGTAGGGGGTGGTGGGGCAGGAAGGAATTGAAGGGTAAGGTGTGAAAAATACGAACCTCAATCGTGCAGTATCTAAAGCGTGTCCCCATGTCCCACTTAATCCCAGTTAGGGAAACATGCAGTCTCTAAAGGGCTCCTCTCAACGAACAAAGCAGCTCTTCTCTCCATGCTCAGCTTCAGGTGTCTGGGTCTCCACCCTCACCCCAGGCCTGTCCCTTTAAAGGGCATGGTCCCAGGATCCACAGCAGAAGGTGGGAAGAAAAGTGACCTTTGGCACCAGCTTTGAGACATCCTTAAAGGGTCATTTGGACAAACTGTACTGCTGAGTTTCTTCTGTAAGATACCCTCTCCTACCCCATTTTTTGAGGCAACAAGGGAAGAGAAACTAACAGACAGAAACTATAGGCATCTAGAACCACATGTCCCATAATCCCTGCAAGCAGTACCTGCAAACATGTCACAGATGCCATCGACACAAGGCAAAGATGACATTCCACTCTTGAGATCCCCAAGGTACCCAGAGTGGTGCCAGGGACACAGCAGACACTTGACAGACAACCTCTTGGAGGAAGCAGCCTAAAATGGGCCTAGCTGGGACTTTTGACCCCAGTTAGGGACATGGGTGGTGACAAGCGCCCAGAAGGAGGGAGGCTGGCTCTTCTCCATGCCATTGCACAGAGTTGGCTTTGCAACAATGCAAATGCTCTGAGCTTCCCCATCTCATGGGTCTGCCCGACTCCTCATATGCAGAGGCTCCAAGCCCCTGAAGGCCTAACGCTCCAGCCTCTAAGTCCTGAAGAGGTGTGACTTTCAGGTCACCTTAAAATGTGCAAAAGCAAGCAGCTCCGGGACAGCAATGCACTCAGGCACCTCCAGGTCCATGTAGGGAACAAAGGGACCCCAAGACCCTTGGGGAGGGGGGAGCCCTGCTCATCTGTTGTGTTTTTGCAAAACACCTCCTTTTGCCTACACAAGCCAGTCTGTCCTTGAACTCAGGGCTGAGGAGGCAGGTGGACATACAGGAAGTCCGAGCACGTCACTGCTCTGTTGACAGGCGAACATCAGCTCTGCGACTTCTCAGGAGAAGTCCCAACTCTGCATGCAGCCAAGTCTCTCTCCATGAGGCACCTTCCCAGGCCAAGATGCACCAAAGAGCCACGTGAGTCTCCACCTTCCGCAGCTAGGATCTGCCCTCCTTTAACTTCAGGATTCTCTGCTAGTCGAATCTCACCAGCTAAGCAAATGCCAGGCCAGGATCACAGAAACAAAACCAAATAGTGGGGTCCATTGGGGTCCCACCTCTCACCTCCTCTACACACTGTCCTCCTCAAGCCTGATGGAAGAACTTGAGACCAGACACCCTGGAAGGCCCTGGAGCATGGAGGGCGGGGAGGCCCGCAGCTCGTGGCCTGAGCAGGGATCCACATGGCTGTTGTCTCCTTGGCCATCCGGGAACCGTGGGGTGCAGCTGCTCTCCAGCCAGCAGTCTCCCTTTCTCATCCACCCCCGCCTGGTCCAGAAGTCCTGGGGATTGTTTTGGCCTCAGGCAGACAGGTGGGCACAAGCTAAGCTGCAGAAGTGGAAATGGAACGGAACCGGATGTGTCTGCTTCAGTGTTCCCTGGAGGAGTCGGCGCCACTCCGGGAGCCTTTCATGTTCTGTTTTCAGGAGACAGAGGGGGTGGGGGAAGGAATCAGGACTTGTATCCAACTGCATTTCTCTAGCACAAGGCTCAAAGCCATGCCAATGAGACGTCTTCCCCTCCCTCTATCCCAACAAAGAACAAAACCCAAGAGAGGCATCATCACAAAACAGGTGGAAGAGTGCCCAGATAGATCCAGAACATAACAGAGAATAACCCCAGCTCAGAGAGACGGGGCGGACACAGGCTGGTTTCCTGCCAGAAGGAAGTGGGGAAGGAAGATGGGACAGGCATGTGGCTCAGGACCCCGAAGCTCCAGTGGATCAAATAGGAACCCAGGGCTGTTCTCTGCACCCACACAGGGACTCCCTGCTGGCCACAGGCAGGCCAGGTTGAGCTGGGGGACCTGAAGCAGCACAGGTCCCGTTTCCTGACTCAGGTTTGGGCCCTGGTGTCTGGGATCTGGGCCCAGCGCTCAAGAGGAGTGCACAGGGGATTAACTGGGATGGCTGGACATGGCAAGGAGCCAAGCAGAGGAGGCTCTAGCTCTGATCAAAGTGACCCTAGGAGGAAGTGCTATCCCTAAGGCACTGGCTTGTATCAAAACCTCCTTAAAAATATTCTTCAATCACTTAGGGACACATGATTGCTGCCACTGCAAAGCAGGGGTCTCTCCCTGAACTCCCTAATCTGCCCCTCAAGAAAAAAAAGAAACACAATTTTTATAGTATTCTCTCCGACTCTCAGTGTCTCCAACAACACTGAGAAGAGAACAGATCCCAGGCAGACACGTATGCAGGATCACCTCTCACACTCTCACCCTGAGCACCCCAGCTGGAGACAGCTTTAGAGAGGAGCCTCACAGGTCTGGACAGCGCCAGAACTACCACCCAGGTCCAAGTAGGACTCAGGAACCCAGGCAGCTGACACCCTCCATGATAGGGTGGGTCTCTGGAAGTGGCCTAGACTTCACATCTAGAGAGCCATGGAATCTAAGAGTGAGGGGTCGTAGCCTTGCTCTACCATGGACACCATAGGCCCCCGGCTTTCATGTATGAAGACAACGCAAGACAACACGGAGTGCCACAAGGCAGGTCATGTGTATGTCATTCAGTCATGAGGCCCCTGGCTCAGGACACACACAGAGAGAGAAGACAGACCTCACAACGATAGCACTGCTCATAATACCCTTGGGTACTGACACATGAGCCAAATACACCACAATGGCCTTCTGCACACAGATCGAGATGCCCTACAGCTAAGATGCCATGACTTGGAGATGCAGGAGGGGACAGAGGGACATGCACCAGGCATTTACCTTTCCAAGGTTAGTAAGGAGAAAACTTTGAGAAAATGTGACAGACAGTTCGTCTTTCAAGCATAGTGGGGAAGAGAAAAAAAAAAAAAACAAACAGGTTGGAAAAGAAAAAAAAATCTTTCAGTAGTATTTTTTCTAGAGTGCATATGAAATTCTAAAACGAATCATGAATGCCAGGTGGTCTCTCCACCTCACATGGATTGCACAGCCCCCAGGAAGACACTGCAGAGCACAGGGTCTGAACCATCAGGCCAATTTAGCCATGAAACCAAGATCACTGGCCCCACACCCGGGGGATCCCTTCCACCCAAGTCTGAGCACTCTAGCTGCTCACAGGCAGAAAAACCACCAGGCTGAGGCAGAAACACAGGAGCACCAAAATGCAGATTCAGACCCGAAGAGGCCAGGAAGTGTCCACTGAAGCCCAGGGTACCAAGTCCCTCCCTAATAATAACAGCAGCCACTGTCCATCAGGCCCTGCATAGGTGCTAGATATATTGCTAAGTGTTTTATCTGCATTCTCATTACTAAAATGCCTTATAAGCCAGGCACAGGCACATACATGCCTATAAACCCAGTGATTGGTAAGTTTGAGGTCAGCCTGGGCAATGAAGCAACTCTGTCTCACAATAAAAATGAAAAAGGTTTGGGGGTTTAGCTCAGTAGTAGAGCATTCCTTGGTACAATCTCCATACCACCACAAAAAAAAAAAAAAAAAAAACTCGTAAAGTTCTCTCCATTTTACAGATGATGAAGTTAGGTCCTAGAATTGCTTTAACTTGCCCAGAGTTCCAATGTCAGGGCTGGTAGTAGAACCAAGATGCAAACCTGGCAAGGTCAGATTCTAATAATAAATTTTGGTCTCGGGGTCCAGATCAATTCCTAGAATCAGACCTATCTATGATCCAATTCATGGGGTTACACTCATAAAAGGGGCTAGACTTTAGGAGCCTTCTTTGAAAAGGAACACAGCATGTACAAGACCATAGGCTCAGAGCCTAAAGGCAGGCCGTCATATAAGAACCCTGGTCCTCCAGTAGCCCATGTGCTGGATCCTGGCTCCAAAGGGACAAAGGATACTGCACACTGTGAGGCCTCTTGCTCTTAGAAGATAGATGTTAAAGAACAAGGCCATCATTAACCAAGGAAGCAGCTGCAGGTGAGAGGCTCTGGGACCTAACTAGAAACCAAAAGCAGCTAGGAGTACCCCACAGGCTGTAAGGACCTAGGGCAAGTATCCCAGCTGTTCTGAGAGGCGGGCAGAGAGGAAGACACCAGCCTTCCGAGGCAGGAAGTCCATCTGGTACTGAGTTCGGCTGCATACCAGCTGGACGGCTGTGGGCAGGTTGTCTGACATCAGCCCCCATCTGTTAAGCAGGGGAGAAACTGGCCCGGCCACCTCCTATGGTTATTTAAGGACCAGAGAGGTGGGGGAATGAGCCATCGCATTCTCTGTGAGCTGTACCGCCCTAGGAGGTACCTCTGACTGCAGAGCCACCAGAGCCCAGGCATGCTGCCAAGCTCCTCCTGCTGTCCAGCTGAACCATCCCCAGTTTCAACATCAACTCATGAAGGTAACCTAATGAGTGCAGAGGGAATCAATGGGGAAGGTGTCACTGAAGTGGGGAGGGTGGCATTGTACAGTGGCAGCTATTAAAACTCTGCAATACGAAGGCCTTGGCACGGTCTGCAGCCAGGACTCACCAGAGCAGTGGAAGCACTGCGTTCTCTCCCCAGTGGCTGCCAGAGCCCATGCTGAACCAGAGCTTCCAGCAGAGCCCTCCAGGGGAAGGGGAAAGGCAACCCCACCGTCTGATGTCAAAGCTGCACCCAGTCCCGAGTGCAACTTAGGGCTGAGTGGGTTCTCCTAAAGAACAACAGGATCCCCAAGTACAGGGTCCACGAAGATCTTTCTGGAGCAATGGGGCTCCTTGGAGGGAGGGAAAGGAAGCAGGGCTCCAGTCCAACCTGCCACACTCCACCAGGTGTGTCCTTGTTTTGAAGATTAGGCTCTGGCTAAACTGTCCTTTCAAAATGAAAGGATTCTTGGGGTGGGGTGGGGACATAAAAAGCAATGGTAGCCTAGACCCAGTGTGTCACCAAACTGGTACCCTCAGAGGGCACACGTGGATTTGACAGCAGGGGCCCATGAGGAACCTTGGTTGGCCACAATCCCTCTTGTATTCCTCGATAAAATGTTCCTAATCTCCCTCCTCCCTCCTCCATGCCCATCTCCTCCTCCCCCAAGGGAGACTTCAGACTCCTACAAAACCTGTCTTTATCCTCAGTGTTCTAACAGGCAGGAGGCCAAACTGGCAAGCAGGAAGGAAGGAGTATAAGCAGCAGAATTATTCAGAGAAATACTTACAGACAGGCCTTCCCTAGCAAAGGCTGCAGGAGAAAAAGTAGAGAGAGAAAGAGAGCAGTCAGTCAGGAGGCAGAACGTCACCTGGCAGGACAAGCCCTGGCTAACCCCCACACCTGGCCCAGCCCACTGCTCTGGGATTGGGCCATCCTGGAGGACCGTCCTGTCAAAGCCGGGGCAGCTCTGAAGTGGGGAGCTAGGACAGGGCTCCTGCCACAGTGTCCTACATGATCAGAGACAGTGCAGCTCAAGATGTCACCTGCCCCTGCTGAGGCAAGTATCCTCAAGTATCTGTGAGAGCCACCTCTGCACTTCCAAAGACGACCCAGGGATATACCAGAATAAAATGCCGGAGAAAGACTATTTCAGTTCTGCTTGATTTTCATTTAAAAACCCTCAGATTTGAGACCTGAAAGGAATTTTATCCCACTCCTCATCAGCAAAGCCAAAGAGACTGAGGGTCAGGGCCATTAAGAGCCACATTCATGCTAGTGGCAGAACTACAGACAGAATGCCAGACACACTGCTGTCTCGTTGTATTCAGCTGTGTGTGCCAGACAACAGGTTAGAGGCATGGGGAAAAAAAAAAAAAATCACCGCATCTGATCTGCCTTCTATGGTATTATTCCCCCATTCCACAGATGGGAACACCGAGGCCAGGGAAAGTTAAATGACCTGTAGAGGCTGCAGCACTCTTCCCACATCACATCCCAGACACCAGGAAACTTAAGGAAGCTCTGGGGAAGGCAGGAAGAGTTGGGGACTTGCCAGGGCACCCTAGCATTGAGGTCACAAACAAAGACCATTCAAAATTCAGTCTATATTGATTTGTGACAGATAAAGCATAGGGGCAGAGATGAGGGACCCCTCTGGGTGGCACCTAAATTGGAACCCAGGAGTTTTTATATCTCACACATTTGCAAAGCTTCTTGGCTACCTTTTAGGAAAGTATTTGTTTTCTGCAAACAAATCTTAATGCCTCCAAAACAAAAACTTGCAGCCTTTACTTTTCTGAGCTAGTGAAAATAGTGAAATGCAGGTGGGTTGGATTTGTTTTGGTTTTGACCACCTGTGTGAGGAAGTAGCTCCTTCCTGGCTATCCAGCCTGCACAGGCTGCCTGGATCTAAGGGGACCACACTGGCTCTGGACAGACACCAGGGCCAGCTCTTCTGTAATGGGAATGACAGCAAGGAGGACGAGTCAGAGAAACACCCAGTTATGGGGTAGGACAGAAAAGATGTCCACTGTCCACGTGGACAGACTTCAGGACTAGGGGACGGCCATCGACTCCATTTTAGAAACAACTATCACCAACGTAAACAGGACTTGGGCATTTCACTATTTCTTCTGCTCTGTCCAGTTCTGCCCAGGAAAGATCACAACCTCAGAAGGACACATGCAGTTACAGTTGTCAGCAAGGAAAGGTCTTCAGAGGGGGCTTCTTGTGTTCTCCCCCAACACACGTACATGTGCACCCATGCACACACACACTCTCACAGACTCCACTCACTCACAAACATGACACATCCCGGGTCCAGGGCCATTGCCCCAGCCACGCTCCCTCGCAGGCAGGTAGGAAAGGGGAGTCACTGACTTGTCCGGGCAGCTGCGTGGGCACCTCCGGGGGCAGGCAGCTGGGCAGGGCAGCAGAAGTGGAAGCCACATGCTCCTCAAAGCTGTTGATGCGAGGCTTTTTGGTGGGCTCGGGGCTGGCTAGTGGGGTGACACTATTGCGTCTCATGAGCGGGTTAGGTCCCTTCTTTGCATCCTAAGCGAGACAAAGACAAAAGAGAGAAGGCGACAGTTACAGGGAGTAAAAGGAGGGAGATAAGCCACATGAAAGTCCCCCTACTCCTGAGTTTTATGGACACAACCACAGTTGGACCAAGTGAGTGGCAGTGGGCCGTGTTTGTGCCACGACCTCCGAACGGGGACAGGGGTGATTCCCTCCCATTCCTTCCCTGGATCATTCCAAAGGGCATCCACGTGACAGAGACAATGTGAGCACAGTAGGGAGAAGAATAATTTCAATCACAGCAGAGAAGGAGGTCAGAGAAAAGAACCTTGCTTCCAGCCCCCAAAGGGCCCCAGAGGGGAGCCCAAGAGAAACACTTGGGTCTGAGGCTCAAAGGAAAGGGAGAGAGAAAGGTGTCGGTGCCAGTTCCCTTCGCCCAGGACCTGCAACGCATGTGCACCTGCTGAACACTCTCGTGAGCCAGACCCTGCCAGAGGACAGGACTCGGGGGCTTCCAAACCAGCCAGGAGACCAAAATTAGGAAAATCAGCATCAGGCAGAGTCTGCCAGCTAGGATCAGACACCATCACTCCCACAGGCCCTGGCCCAGAGCCTCTGCCCTGAGGCCTCTCTGTCACTGCACCACTCTGGTGCTCCGCAAGCGAGTATTCTGAGACCCCAGGTCTGGAGCAGCAGGCCGCAGCCAGGCCAGGGCTGTCCTCACAGGGCTAAGGCAGTGCAGATTCAGTGAACTCATTCAGAGGGGGAGAGGGCTACAGAGGCAGGGCGAGGCAGCGGAGGAACATGGGCCTCTCGTTTCACTCCACAGATGAAGCTGGGCAGTAAACTGGCTAACGTCTCATGTGTTCTTCATGCCAAACTCTGATGGCCAAGCTCCTTAGATGGGGGACTCCACAGAAAGTCACGGTCGGTATAAGACTACACTAGCAAAGCACGCATTTTGACAGCCTGTAGAAAACAAATTCAAACTCGCTTTTACAATGCACTCCTGGACAGAGATGAAATCTGCTCAGTAAGAGACTTGCCCTGAGTGACCCCAAAATCTTAGCGCTCCCCGAAGAAGACAAAAACGACCAAGCTCTGGGTATCCTGAAATCCTTCCTGCTGGTCTCCCACCTAAACTCCTGCTGATTCTGAACCTAAGCACATGCAGATGACCTGAAGATGGGCTGATCCTGTCAGAGCCAGGACTCTGGAACTTGAAAGCAGTTTTAGGGGCTGAAAAAAGCCACAGACACTGTGCTAGGGTGAGGTTTCAACGGGAGATGATCGCACTTCTCCAGTCAAGGAGAAATGGGGGGGAGAGAGAGCAGGGAAAGAAAGAAAAGGAATAAACAGATCCCAAGAAGCCACAGGAAAGACGGACAGGAGCACAGAGGTCCTGACCAGGGAAGCCACCCAGGCCAAGCTGCTCCGTGAGAACTACATGGGGCCTTCCCCAGGCCTCCCATGATGAAGGCCAGGAAGAGGGCATCGTCCATTGAGAGACCTCCACTCACCTCTGACCTCTCCCGGTGTGTGCTCACGGACTCCACATTCAGGTAGATGGATTCCACACGGCAACCTGGGGGGACGAAGGATGGGGGAGAGAACAGCTTCTTTTAAAGGGACAGTCCTGCCTACAACTCCCGGGGCCACCAAGAGACACAGACCCCAGAGGCACTGCTTGGCAAGGGCTGCTACTCACCATAAGCGACGGGTGTCAGTTTCAAGACAGTGTGAAGGGGGCATTTCAGGTAGGGCATCTCTTCTGAAAAAAAGAGAGATGATCCCACAATTAGGTACAAGACTTGAGGCAGAAGGAAGAATCAAGGGATATCTGTGGGCCCACACCAGGAGCCCCAGAAGCCGTTCTGGGGAAAGGGCATCTCATTCCAATATTCAGGTCATCCTGTCCAAGGCGGGTGGCCCTAGGAAAAAACACCTATCCAAAAGAATATAATAAAAACAAACCCAAAACCCACACTCTCTCTTTTTTTAAAAAAAAAAAAACAAAACTATTTTCCTAAAAATTCAGGTCTGTCTAGGGATTCATCTGGGTCTTGGGCGTGAGATTCTCATTAGCATTCTCTGTGCTCTTTGTTCTTTGGAAATGGACCGATGAGAAGAGATACATCCCCACCCCCCCCACACACACACACCCAAAGGCCCTTCTATGTATGGAGCTGAGGGCTTCTGGTAGGCTGTGTTTGACCTGATGAGCAGTGTTCCCAAGAGACAGCAAGGTGGCTCTGGGAGGAGAGGATCCTGCTGCAGGCTGGGAGCCAGAGCCCTGTCCTGCTTCTCCTAACACTCAGACACGCAGCAGGGTGGGCAACCACGGGTCTGTAGCCACCTGCACTCAAGGGCCAGATTTCTTCCCACTCCTTCCCAAGGCCACAGACTGCCTGACCGAACCTGCACTCTTATCCAGGAAGTAGGCCAGCAGGCAGCGCAGGACAGCCTGGTGACAGATGACCAGCACATTCTCCTGGCGCTCCAGCTCCATGATCACAGGCTCCAAACGCTGGACCAGGTCCTGGTAGGACTAAGCACACAAATGGGACTCCACGTTAGAGCAGAGGGCACCTAGGGAAGAGCACTGCCAAATCCTGAGGGGAACATACACCTGCCAGCTTCTCTGAGTGCCTTCCTCTTCCTTCACCTCTCCTGGGGGATGAGGGACAGAGGTGGTTGAGGAAGTGCAGACTGTACAACAGAATATTATTCAGCCATAAAGAGGAATGAATGACACACCCCAATATGGAAGAACCTCAAAACCTTTTATGTTGAGCCAAAGAAGCCAAGCACAAAAGTCAATATTTACTGCATGACTCCACTTCTACAAAATGCCCAGAACAGACAACTCCAGAGGCAGAAAATAAGTTCATGACTGCCAGGGGCAGGAGTTGGGGGAATCTGGAATGACTGCTAACAAGTTTGAGGTCTCCTTTAGGGGTGAGGGAAATGTTCTGGAATGAGTGGTGACGGTGACATGGCACTGTGAATACAGCAAGCCTCTTGACTCTATGGGTTCCACAACCAATTGCAGATTGAAAATATTCAGGTGATATCAGTCTGCAGCTGGGAACAATGGCACACCTGTAATCCCAGTGACTCAGAAGGATCACAAATTGAAGACCAGCTTTAGCAACTGAGCAAGATCCATCTCAAGATAAAATAAAAAAGGGCTGGGGGGTATAGTTCAAGGGTAAAGTACTTGCCTCGAATGTGGGAGGCCTGGGTTCAACACCTAGTGTAGGGAGGAAAAACTGCATCTGACTGACTGAATGCAGATTTTTTTTTTTTAGTTGTCATTATTCCCTAAACAACTGTTTAACAACTGTTTACAGAGCACTTACATTATGCTGGTATTGTAAGCAATCCAGAGATAATTTCAAGTACAGGGGAGGATGTGTGTAGATTATATGCAAATAATATCTTGAGCAACTAACTATCTACAGGGTTTGGTATCTTCAGGGAGTTCTGAGACAATTCCCTGAAGATACCAAGGGACAACTGTCTACTGAAACCCACTGACTCACATATTTTAACATGGTTAAAATTGATAAATTCGTCAATAAATGTAAAAAAAGGGGTATGGTTTTGTCTCTAAATAAAGATCTGCAAAGCTCCTCTTCACCTGGGCCCCTCCTACCCTCCTTCCTTTTCCTCCTAACCAGCAGCCCAGTGAGCAAGGGCCAGCATGAGACAAGAGGGCAGCATGCTGCCCACCAGGGACTGCGGTATGACAAATGCTCAAAGGGCATGTTCAGGAAGGGCACCCACTAGGTGTCCACCAGGGGCCTGGCCAGGCTCCCACAGTACCACAGGGTGACCGGCTGCACAAGGGGAAATGCCCTCTGCCAGCATTATCTCAGACCCCAGCACCAGTGATACTAGATGACATCCTGGGGCCTGGCCTGTCTGCTATCTCAAGCTCTGGTGCCGAGCGAAGCCTCGTCCCACGTCACTAAGAGTATAGAGTCAAATCCATGCACCCCCCACTTTCTCTTATGGGAAAATATAACTGCACTTCCCCTAAGGCTGTGGAACAAGGAAAGTCAAACCAACAGCAAAGTTCCTAAGTGGAACCTTGGCAGAGGTAACAAGGAGCCTGCAGGGAACAGAATGGGGAGCCACAGCCCTCTCTATGCCAAGCCCACCCACAGCACTCACCACCTACCCAACCTCCTCATAAGAAACGAACAAAGGCCCACAAACAGCACAGGACAGGAGGCAACCCCCCAGCTCACCTCGCCTGTGGGGTAGCGGTAGTAGTACTTGTCCTGCTCACGCAGCGCATACTCCTCAGGGTAGGTGTCCCTGATCTCCTCGTAGGTCAGCTCCTCACACACACCCTAAAGGAAACACCCGCGGTCACTCCAGGGAACACACCCAAAGGGACCACGGCAGGAGGCTCTACAGGAGACCTTCGGAAGCCACCCAGGATGCCCCAGGGACATGGGTACCTCTCTGCCCCCACCCCGCCCCACCATGCCACGCTGATCCAGGGACTCACGGCATCGATCTCGTTGAGCGCCTTCCATTGCTCATAGGGGAGCTTCAGCGCCTCTGCCGTCTGGATGGTGCTCTTCAGCTGGCTGGTCCACACCCGGAGGTCCTTCAGGTTCTGCTCCTCCACAAACTTGCTCAGGGCATTGGCAAACTGACAATTGACAGGGAGAAGGGGCACAGTGATGCGGGCTCCTGCAGGGTTCACACCCCCCATGCTGGGCTGGGCTGGGCTGGGCTGACACGGACCCACAGTACTGAGGGTGGCTGATCCCATAGGATACAAGCTCCTCAGAGCCCAGGAGACGTAGCTCTGCTTGTCCCCTCCTAGTCCACACACTCACACACAAACACACATATACCATAGTGAGGCAATGACAGGAGACAAGGCACTCCCCACTACCCTCCTAAACATGGGAGCCAGCCCCTTCCTGCCACCCATCAGCCCCCAGCCCCTGCTCTCCACTCTCCTCCTACCTTCTTGCCTCGGCTGGACAGGCCTGAGTCCCCGCCAATCTTGCCCTGGAGGTTGAACTCATTCTCGCCATGCCGGCACAGGTAGATGGTGCGGGGCTGCACATGGATATTCATTAGGTAGTAGACAATGCGGCTCTGGATGTGGTCCTGAACTCTGTTCACCAAGAACCTCCGGCCAACGTCGATTACTTTGATCAATGATAAGTCCCTACAAAGAAACACCACTGAGGACCACCCCTCGGGCCTCCCTGGACAGCACCATCAACACACCCACCCCTGGGCCTCGGCTGGCTTCCAGAGACTTGCTCCCTGGGAAAATGGCAATGCGGGACCGAACACTACAGGGCAGACTCTGTCTTCCCCTCCAGGAGCCAGAGAGTAAGGGCAAGGCTGGTTCCCACAGCAGGGTCTGGCCAAGAAGCTGGCTGGCCACCCAGGAGAAGGGGGCAGAGAAAAGCAAGAGAATGGAAAAGAAATGAAGGAAGTCTCAGGGGATAGGAGCAAAACAGGGCTCAAATGGGTACCCCTCCTCCACCTCTACGAGCTGTCAAAAATGTTTGTATTGTTTGTAATCAAGATTTTTTTAAAGACATTTTAATAATTTCATTTTTTATTGGTACACTATAAATAGTGGGATGCGTTATGCCATGTGTACAGGCACAGGATTTTATTAAGGAGAGTTTATGGAAGTATTCAGGGGCAAATGCTTTGTGGGAACATCAAGCGAACATTAAAAGCCCTAATTGAGGCAATTCAGAGACAGACACCTCTTGGAATTACCTGTCACATTTATCAGGGTCCAGTGGCTGATAGCTGGCTTCATAGCAACTGATTCTCTTCATAAAGTCGTCCATGGCTTCTGCCGAGTTGCAGTCTTTGTAATCCGGGCTGGAGATTTTAACTTCCTGTAATGCCACAAAGAGGCAGCTGATGAATCACGCTGGGAGGCTTTCTGCTTAGATAAAGCAGGATTTGGAGCTTTCAAAAGGGGAAAGCCCAGAAAGGCTCAGAATAAAGATTATCCTACCCAGCGTTTAAGAGGGGGAAAAAAAAAAAAAAGAAAGAAACTGGGGGTTGACTCAGAGCCCCATGATTACATTGGGAGAATGCCCAGGGGAGACAGAATCACCGGCGGCAAGGACAGACACAGGAAATCCACAAGGATCCCATAATGAACACCTCAATAGACCACCGAGTCAGGATCAGTCCCGTAACTGAGTCACCACCAGATAGCCTGGCCCTCAATTGAGCTAAATCCCACATAAGCATTTGTAATGTTCCCCACACCAGGAGCAAGTCAAAAGGCACATTAATAGTTGCTAGGGATGCCCCTGACCTTGAGTGTGCTATCCATTCACTTGGACAGAGGCAGCACCCACTTGTGGCTGTCTGTGACTAACTGCTTGTCTAACTAGACCTGGGGCCACACCTCTCCAAGGGCTGCCCTCTCCTGTAATGGCACAGTAGGTCCAAGGAACCAGGCAGATTTTAGGGGAAATTCAGGATTTTTTTAATGCCTGTGCTTCCTTTCTCCTTGACAACCATCACAACTAGGAGACAGTGGCACTTCAGGGCTCCAAGTCAGTGAGCGGGTAGCTGGTGTTTCATGGTGCAGTTACAGATGGGCAGACAGAAAGGCCTGGTAAGGCCAGTTAAAATGGTAACATGTATCACACAATAAAAAAATAAATAAATCTAAGTTCACCAGCTCTCACACCTAACCTGCAAAGCTGCTTCAAGATTTAACCAAAGCAAGAGACTTCTGTACCCAAAGGGTTGGGGGAAATGACCAGCTGCATTAACACTAAAAGATAAAAGATAAACTGATAACTAAGGGCTGGGGTTGTGGCTCAGTGGTAGAGCACTTGCCTAGCATGTGTGAGGCACTGGGTTCGATTCTCAGCACCACATGTAAATAAATGAATTTAAAAAAGGTCTATGAACATCTAAAAAAAAAAAAAAAAAACCTGCTAGCTAAGCACATTGGTAACAACTTACTGGGGAAAATGGTTTCCCAGCTGCACCTGACTTCTCTACCAAATGGAACAAGGAAAGTCAAGCCAAAGAAACAGCAAAGGCCTTTGTTCAGATTATTGCAACTTCTGTTTCCTTGTACTTTGAGCCTCTTCCTTTGGACCCACTAAAACTCATTTGAACAGGGTTTCCTCAATTCAAAGAGCTCTTCCTGAAATATGAACTCACTTCTTACCAACACCTGTAAATATATCCTCTGCCTTGGAGCAAAGGACCAGTACCAGAAGCTAATGTGTGTTTAGAATCCCCTTTAAAAATGCGTATTTGTGCCGGGCGCAGGGGCACATGCCTGAAATCCCCAGGGACTAGAGACAGGAGGATGGCAAGTGTAAGACCAGCCTTGACAACTTAGTGAGACACTGTCTCAAAATAAAATAAAATAGAGCCGGGGATCTAACTCAGTGGCAGAACATCCTTGGGTTTCATCACCAGCACCACACATACACAAAAAAGATCTATTTGTATGCAGCAATACCACAGCATTCACTCTCCAAAAAGAACTGCTCTTCTTTATGAATTTGTCTTATTCTGATATGTTTAAGCTAGAAAGAAAATGGTCTACAATACGAAGAGGTGACTTAAGAGAAAGTCCTCACACAAACCATTTCTATGTACAATACATTGCTATCAAGTGATAAAATTTAAGAATTAATCAAATTATGCTGCCAAGTACCCTCTAGCTCCCTCTCACATTGGAGAAGTCTGTTAGATTTTTGCACTAGCAGGAGAACAGCTTTACTACAATCCTTCTTCCCAAGCCTGGGGACCCTGCCTTCAGTAGGCCAAGTCCTAGAGACCTGTGCTTATACACAACCCAAGAGACTTTCTCAGCACAGGAGATCAGCCCGCTGCTTCCTGTCCCATCTAGAGGGGTCAGCTGCCCTGGATCCCAGACAGACCCGTGGCCACTCTACTGCCAAGCTCCTGTCACCTGCAGAAACTGCTCTCCATCTCCTCACTGGAAATCTCTCATGTCCCCAACAAGACTGTCCTGCCAAGTCTCCTCAAGGACCCTGGGTAGAGCCAGCCAGGACAGCAAGCTCCTGAGGTACACATCCCGGTGTCCTTCTGCCCCTGCCCCATGTCTACCTCACAACCTGGGCTCCTACTTTTCTAAGATTACAAATGTCCTTGCAGTCAGTGTGGCTGCAAGTGCATGGGGCTTCCTGATGGTCTTACCATGATGTTGGAGGCCACAACTGTAGGGTCATCACACACGGACTCAATGAAAAACGCCTGGTAGAAGTGAGGCAGATATATTAACACAACGAACATCACAAAGGGCCAATTCCAACGTCACTACCACCTACGAGAAGCAAGGACGACTGTCCCAAAGACATAAAACAATCACCTGCCTGCAGTGGATCCCTCCCCTCCCCCACAGAGGAGCACCTCCCCAACCTGAGCCTGGCCTCAGGAAGGCTTTATCTATAGACAGCAAAACTCAGGTGGCAGGAGGCAAAGGACCCAGCAGGGATCAGGGAAGGAGCTGGGCTCTGAGGTGTCCTCCTCTTCCCAGAGCTTATTGGGACAAAGTGAGAAGTTTGGCTCACCTTGAAGTCATTTTCTTTGGCAAAATGCAGGATCATGTGTCTTCTCTCTCGAGTAGTGTTGGTGGCATCAAACACCTGATAGAGAAAAGTGAGGAAGAAGAATCTGAGTTTGACAATATTTACCAACAATAAGCCTAAAAATGTGCTTCAGGAGAGTCTGTCCTGCAGGGAACAGGGATACGCTCCCAGTGGCCCTTCCCTCTCTCACAGCTGCAGATATCAGGGACAGGAGGGGAGGAGTGGGAAAAGCAAACAAACCAGCAGGGACATGAAGTGAGAGGGTGGACACAGAGGGACACTGGCTATAGTGCTGGCAGCAACCCAGACCCTGCCATGAAGGTATCCAGCTGCCCAGAAAGGGGCAGGAGACAGAAGAGCAGGGCCGCATCGCAGGCCATCCCCAGACCACCTTCCTGAATCACCTGCTTCTCTTAACCCTCAGGGCCAGAGGCTCTTGGTTCTCTATTATCCCCACGAGGGCTCTCAGCACCACTCTGGCCAGTGAGGACACCACCCTGCTGGGGACAAGAGACCACGCCGCTGTATTCCCCAGACTTACTGCAATTTGTCCCCCTTCCTTTGTCAGGTAGCTTTTGACATCTCTCAAGGCAGCCAAGGCACACTGCCTGCAACACAGAAGAGAAGCCGCACTTCAGCGCAGGTCATGCATGGGGAAGCCCGAGCACCCCCACTCGCCCAATACGAGAACCTGCCCTTCAAGTTCTATGCTGCCAGGTGCCCGCCAGGCCTCTCTGGGCCTAGAGGCTTCCAGTCGGAGGCCCAGTGTAGACAGTTAAAGGCGCCCTTGGGAGATGGTGCTCACTCCTGGCTACACACTGGAATCTCTCCCGGGGGAGCTACTAAAATGACACCAGAGCCCACCCACAGATCCTCACCAGGCTGGCCTGGGTGGAGCCCTGCATCGGCATGAGAATCTTTACAAGCTCCCCTGCTGAGTCTAAAGGTGCAGCCACCTGCTGAACACCAGCGCCCAAGGGCTTCAGGAGGCCTCGGGCTTAACAAGAAATCCTTTGCAAACACAAACAGACGATTTCCAAAGAAAAGGACTTTGTTCACTCTCAGGATGTGGCTGCTGTTGTTGGTCTGTCCCACATCCGCTCCCTCAGGACATCTGGGAACTGATCAAACTAGTCTCAGAGACGCCGAGAGGCTTACCCTAACACTGGACGGAGCTGAAGACCACCAGTGCACTGCAGGCCTGCTCTCCCTCCCTCTTAGAGAACCTGGCTTGGACACTGAGCAAACCAACACCCCGAACAAACAGCCCGCATCTTACTTTCGCACTTTCATGGCTTCCTCATTGTCGGGGCGGAAGAAGTTGTAAGAGCTGTACTGCTTCACGGCCTCACGGCGGTACTCACCCACATTGAACACTAGACAGAGAGACAAGGACAGCCCTGGATGACCCAGCAAGAGGCAGAGGCCCACAGCCAACTGCAAACACATCTCATCCAAAAGTGAAAACCAACTCCCCACCAACACACACCAGTGACTACAACGACATCCAGCATGGAAGCCAGAGGGTGGACCTCCCAGTCCCAGGTCATCACCCACTGCCTAGAGGCAAGCAGCTCTGTTTCCCAGAACAAATTACAGTACCCACTGCCACTGGCTCTACCTGAGGCATCTTACGTGGCCAGCCTCCAGTCAATCATGACATGGTGGAAGAGGGGATGGCCACAGGTCTAGCAAAAATAGGAATAATGATTTCTGCCTTTGGTCCCCAAGTGAGTGGGCATCATAATGGTGCCAAGGGGATAGTTAAGGGGCAGTAGGTACGTTGCTCAGTGGTAGAGTGCACAAAGCCCTGGGTTCAAGCCCCAGAACCAAAAGAAAAATTGACTGGGCATAACAGGAGACAACAAATATAAAACACTGTCCCTCATCCTCAAGATATTTCTCATTTAGTTGGGAAGACCAGACAGAGATTCATAAAAGTATCACTGACAGCATGAAAGTATGGAGCACTGGAGGTCAGAGGAATGTCCAACTATGGGCCACACTAATTTCATGAAAGATGCACACAGAATGACATGGCCAGAGACAGCTTCGTGGAGGAGTTTCGATGAGACAAAATCTAAAGGATAAGGAGGGGCGGTTGACTCAGTATGGTGGGGACACAGCTGGGATGGGACTGGGATCAGACTCCAAGCCCCAGAACAGGCCACTCCTGCCCCTGCTCACAGGCAGGAGTTACTGGAGGTGAAGGTCAAGTTTTTTTTACAGCTGAGGGGGGTCTGGCTTGCAAGGCTGCAGCACTCAACAGAACAGCCTAGCTGGGGACCCCACTGACCTTTTGTTGGGACACCAATCCAGTTGAGGTAGCGAGTCAACTTCTTGGAGATGTAAGTTTTGCCTCGGGCAGGGAGGCCCACCATGACAATCACCGTCGGGGAGTTGGTCAGCTTCGGCCCACAAGCTGGAAAGAGAAGTCAAGAGATGGGTCACAGGTCAGTTGACACAAGTTCATGAACAGAGTCCGATGCCCAACAACAAATTTAGAAGAATGACACTGAATTACATAATTTACTCCCGGTTCCAAAGCCCCTAGACCAACAAGCCAGCAGACCAGGGCCCTGTGGTGACCAAAGCCCCAGTGAGGCCTTGAGCTCAGTCTCCCTTTCAGTTACAAAGGTGGCAAAAATAGTACCAGTCCCAAATTCTCAATCTGACAGGAAAGGGTCTTGACCCAGCCAGGGATCCCAGTTACCAACAGCAGGGTGGAACAGCGTTCCTGGGGGGTGTGAGGAAGGGACCCTAGCCCAGGGAGGGGAAAGTCAGCAGTGGGGAGAGGCCCTTTACAACCAGTGTGCAAATTAGGGGGCAGGTAGCAAAGGGACAAGATAGGTGGTCCAGTGAGCCAAAAGACAGAGAGAAGCCAATTGTCAACTTTCTAACCTCCTCATAGGAAGTCCAGGAAGGATTTCTTTAAAAAAAAAAAAAAAAAAAATCGAACAGCCAATTTCTAAAAGTCAGAGCTTATCAAATGAAAGTAGGTCAGGGACCCAGAATGCTGATTTCCCTTCTGGCCCCCCGCGGCTGAGTGACTGTCCCATATGCCTCAGAATCTCGACAAGACAGAACACAGGGAAGGAGGTTTTCATAAAGCAGCTAAAAGAAGCCTATTCTAGAAACTGAAGGTCTAGGACCATCATCTTGCCCCTGAGACTCCTGGAATTCCTGTATCCCAGTGACAAGCCAGCTCCCAAAAGCCAAAGGCCACCTGCCAACTCCAGCCCAGCTGTCCTTATCCCTTCCTGGCACAGGCCCATGACCTGCAGAAGGAGCTATGAAAGCCCTACATCCAGCCCAGGCGGTCATTAGAATTGGACAGAAGCCCAGACTCCAGGGGAAGCCTAAGATGGAAGGTAGCTGGGTGGGAAGGAAGGAATGCCAAGCCCTGAGGACAGGCCCAAGTGGGACACCCAACACAATCACAACCGAGGTCACCTTGAACACACCACAGAGGGACTCCAGGATGTGCCCCTGGGCCTGGGCTGGGTTGAGGTGGAGTGCCTGAGTGGCAGGCAGGCAGGTGCTTTGCTTCCCATTCCTACTCATTAATATTCAGGATCTGAGTTAGGAGGACCAAGTAGGGCCATCACAGCCTCCCAGAGGCTCAGAAGCCACTGAAGGCCTGTGGTCACATTCCCTCAGTTTCCAGAGGCCCTAGAACAAACAGATTCCTAGAAAACAGATGCTTATCGCTGACAAGGTGAGTCCCATAGGTGATAAGCACTTGAGCTGTGCAAACACCAAGGGGCCACATAGCTATCCCCAGAGAGAGGGCAGCCTCCCTAAGATCCAGGGGGGCATAGGACACACCCCAACCCCAACCCCAATAATACGGGCAGCTGCAGTTAACAAATCACAGAGGGGCTACAGCTGACCTCTTCTCACCTATGCCCTGAAACAATATCCATCCACTGATCCCTCCCCGAGACCAGCACCCATCCCCATCAGGTGACCCCACAGGCCACCACCCAAGAGCATCCAGACATGCACGGAGACACACAGCTGTGCACACATGGAATATCTCTCTTGGAATCAGGCCAAGGAAGCAGGGGCAGAAGCTGACTGATTTATCAACTCGGGGATTATGTCTATCCACTAATCGCAGGAACAAATCTCCTCTGGCAGTAGACTATCTGGGAGGCAGAAAACAAACAAAAAAAAACGATCACCACAGTAGTCAATGCCTTTAGGCAAAAGGTCAGGTTGAATTTCAAATCCAAAGAAACCATCACTCTCTCCTTGACAAGGTGGAAGCCATTCTTCCCATTGGGTGGGCTTCTTGCCTGAGATTCAAAGGGGGCTGCAGCTTCCCTCCACCCAAAGTCCCCTGATCTCAGCCAAAGGAGGGAACCACATGTCCTTTCAACTAAATCTCTGGCTACTATTCTTCATCCCCCCCCCCCGCACCCCATTACCCTTTTTTAAACTCAAAGTACATCTCAAGTTCCTGCATGAGTTTATAATCTCCTATCCCTGCCGGAATCCCCTTAGACCCTCAGTCTCGTCTCTTCTGTATGGTCCCTTTTTACCATCTATCCTGACACCTGTGTCACTGCCCTCCCTGGATCCCTGCCTTTTCTTCTCCTATAGCACAAAGGATGAGGCATAACGAGTACTGACTTTAACACAAGATTTTATAAGGTATACTAGTCTTTTTCACTTCATTTTGTATAAATGCATAACATTCTAAATTTTTGACAGTCTTTGAAGCTGGGCGTCATGGGGCACACCTATAACCCCAGCAGCTTGTGGGGGCTAAGGCAGGAGGATCATGAGTTCAAAGCCAGCCTCAGCAATTTAGCAAGGCGCTAAGCAATTCAGTGAGACCCTGTCGCTAAATTTTAAAAAGTGCTACAGATGTGGCTCAGTGGTTGAGTGCTCCTGAGTTCAATCCCTGGTACCCACCCCCCCAAAAAAAGTATGAGAGAATACACATGTTCACTATGTAATGGAGAAGGAAGCCCTTGTCTAAAGACCACTGATTACAGCCTGGGAGACTCAGGCTAAAAGTATTGCTGATGGTGAAGGCCACGGTCCCTTGAGTAAGAATTCACAGAAAATCACCAAGTCTCAAGAATGAACCTCCACCCTATATGTTCACAAGACACATGCTCTGGATGCTTGGGCAGGAAGATGTGTGGAAGAACCTGGGTCAATGTCACCAAGTGGTGGGTACCACTGAGCGAAGCCCTGAGTATACAATAGCTGGCCATACTATTCTGTTAGTTCACAGCACAAGCTGGCTACCTGTGCCCTGTAAACTTACACTGGACTTCAAATGAAAGCGAGAGGGCTAGCAAGTCAGCATGCATCTGCAGTGACAGTGACTGGGGAAATACACTATGAAAAAAGTCGTCAGACGGGCAGATCCCCCACCTAGACAGTGCTTGTCTCGAAAATGACTAGGGTGAAAGGCTGCAGCCCTGAGCCCCAATCCAGCTCTCCTCCTGAAGCCCTTCTGGACTGCTGCAGCTTCATGAAAACTCCTCGGATGTCCAACCTTATCTTATCTGTCCTACATCACTCCCTGGATGAAGTGAATAGCCTCTCTGTGAACATGCAACATGTGGACAAAAGCAGACACTGGACAGCTGCCCTCAACTGCCCTCCTGACACTAGACTCACCATTACAAAATAGATGGTTGGCAAGACCCTCTGCCGTGTCTCCCTCCCCTCCCTTGAACTTACTTCTACTCGGAGGCTCTGCAAAATGTTAACCTTAACAATAAAAAGATGCTAAGTCATCTGTTCTTAGGTGAGACACTTCAATTAACAAGTTCAAGGGGAAGAAATGTAAGGGACTGTTTATGAGAGCTATGAACCAAGAAGGGACCCATTTCCCTCAAGCATGTAAGGAAACTGAGATTGTGTTCATTAACAGGGACCACCTTGACCTACCCTTAAGCAAGGGTAGCATCAAGTTGTGCAAAAAGACCTGCTTTGACCTTGCAATACACAACCACCCTAAGAAGTTATTTCTGGAAAAACAAACCGAACCCAGCTGGCTCTTGGGAGACCAGAATGTCAGCACAGAGAAGCATGCTGTCTACTGAACAGCAGCAGAATGCAGCTAACAGACACCTCTTTCAAAACCTCTTCTGGACTGTTTAATGGCATTGGCATACATGAATTACTTTGCATATGTATTTTAACCAATGTCAACCTAATCTTAAACCTTCACAGCCCCATATGATCTTAGGCAGTGGCAATAGGTATTTTATAGTGACTCTTCAGCAACCTTAGGAGGCAATACAATAGCAGAATGGGAAACACAGAGGACATGAAGTCAATAAACAGTTTGAAGCCTGGCCTCCCCACTTCCTTGGATAAGTTCCTGTCTCAGTGTCTCCACCTCCTTTTCTGTACAATGGAGGGATGCTCCATAGACACTATTGTAAGAATGAACTGCAGCATAATTCACATGAATTGCTCACTTCAGTGTCCTCTGAACCTATGGGCCATTATGGCTATCTGAATGACAAACGGCTCAGTTTAGGTCTTTCCCTCTCAGAATCCTTCACCTACTCCTTCCCAAATGAGTGACTCTCCTAAGTGGTTAAGCCTAAGTAGTTTTTAAAAATTAAGTTAACTGGGTTCTGACTGGGGCAATTCTGAACTTGGTTTGAGGCTCCAGTATGGATTTTTTTTTTTTTTCCAAATCTCACCCAAATGATTTTAATGGGCAGCCTCAGCTGAGAATCACTGCAGGGGTCACTTGAGGACAAGGCACGGATTTCTCTGGAATACTGACCCATCTTCCCTAAGTTACAATGCCATCAACAGGAATAACTTCTAGAAGAAAATTTATCACATCCCCCTATCTTCACTGCAGTCAATCCTCTGCAGCCTGTTCTAAATCCTAAGCAAAGATAAACTGGCTTTGTCTCATGCACGCATATTTTAGGAAAAAAAGATGTGGTCTTTATACCTACTGTTTAAGGCACTGCACTGACCAGTGATAATACCCTCTAAGCTCCAATGAAATGACAACTTATCTAATGCCTAAGTGCTAGATCTTAACTCAGGACCACAGCACTGAGAGGGACAGATATCTTCACCCCCAATTAAGTAGACAGAATGTAACTTACCTTACCGACAAGGAAACAGGTTCTAAGTGACTAATAAACCATCTAGATCAGAAGGGAGGTGCTCAATTCTTAGTGATGATAAACTAAAAAGGAGACCCTTGCTAACCAAGAACTTACTTCTAATCAATTCAGCTGATTCACAAATTCGGCAAGTCTCCATTTGCATTTGATGGAAGCTGTGAATTTTGCAAAGTTCTTACCACAGTTAGTGGGACAACAGGGCACCGAATTCAGATGCTTCAGAGGCAGTAATATCACTCATCTTGGGCTCATCCATCTGGGGCTTTTTGCTGTTGTACTGTTCTTTGTACCTGAACAGAAACATTCCCTGTGTCCTTTTTTTTAATATATATTTTTTTAGTTTTAGGTGGACCCAATATCCCATTTTACATTTATGTGGTGCTGAGGATCAAACCCAGTGGCTCGTGCATATGAGACCAGCACTCTACCACTGAGCCACAACTCCAGCCTCTGTCCTCCATTAGTAATAAACCTCAGAGGGATCTGCTGCAGACCTCCAAGGAGGTCTGATGAAGATGATGAAGATGGTAACAGGTTTAGGAGAAAGAAATCCCACCCAGTGTTCCAAATGCTACTAGAGAAGAAGTGTTCACCTTCCCCCAGTCCAGTAAAAGACAAATATAACTATATAAACTAGGAAAGACACCACTTCTTGAAATAAGGATATGTAATAAATACCCAGGCTGCAGATATTTTTGTAAGAAGGAATGTGTTGGAGACTCCACCCCAGAGCCACACACAAGGATTCCAGGAGCGGGCGGGACACGGACAAGCATCTTAATCCATCTGCTTTGGCAGACACACCTCCCCCTCAAGCTCTGAATGGTTCTGACAATGATTCTTCTTCTTGGGCAGATCTCTCATCTGCGTGAGATACGTGCAGGCTCAGGGAGACTAATGGATTGAATTCTGAAGCCTGAAAAATGTCTTCCTGCATGCTGCCAGTCTGTCATAATCACCACTGCACTAATGCCAACCAACCTCAGTGTCCACTCAGAAACACAGGATGTTCCTCTCAGACCCAAACCCGGGGACCATTCAGGGAGTGTGTGTGCATACATACACACCATCACCTGGACTTACATGGATACAGGAAAACAACTCATATATTGTGTGGCCGATTGCAGGTTATTAAGTACTCTACAGATGACACTGTATTCAAAAGTTCAAAAGGGACAAGACTTGTTTCTGCATCTGACCCTGGGCAAATCTCCCTGGGGGTATTTTTATAGAAAGACAATCAAGACCTCACCCAGCCCCAGATTAGTAAACAAGCCTCAGATTATCTGAAAAGGCTGAGAAAAGAGAGAAGCCTGCCAGTCCCTCCTGGCTACCCTGCCCAGGAAGAGAGCAGGATAGCTCTTCCCTGCAAACCCACAAGCCAACAGAAAGGACCTGCTGGCTGGGCCAGCGCCACCCACTGGGAGCAGGTCTCGGGCTGAGAAGTCGTGACTCAGACCCAGCAAACCTCCAAGTGAGCTGTCACTGTCAGCGGTGGCCATCCTGAGAAACGTGGCAACCTGGAACTAAGGTGCCCTCAGATGACCGCAAGCCACCAGAATTTTGCACCTGGATCCCACCCTTGCCTCTCAGGCTACCGACCTGGGCTAAGTAAAACGCCCAGCACGTAGCTCGTCCTTCTGCACTTGTTGGGCTTTTCTGAACGACTTACCTGAAAGGGCAGCACCGCCTTAGAGCCATTTCAACTACCATTCAGCCGCCCAAGAGACGACTCTCTGCAGCTATAGATGGAGCCCAAGGGAACCTCCAAATCGTTTACCCAGGGCGTCTGGCGCGGCAAGGAGGCGAACTGCCAGCAAATTCCGAGCTCGGAAATTTGCTGTGTGTGTGTGCACTTGTGAAACGCCACCAACCGCGCAGCCACCAACCCAGGGACCCTTCCCAAACCCAGAGCAAAAGGCTTGGTTCCGGATGGCTGTCGCCCCCAGCCTGGGCGTTCCTGAAGTCGTGGAAAGTGCAGAGGGATGGAAATACAGAGACAGAGGAGTGGGGGACAGGAATCGAGAACGAAGAGAAAACATAAATTTATGGTGAGGGCAAAGAAAGAGGAGACAGAAAGAGCAATGTGCAGGTGACAGAGAAGACAAATGCATGGCAAGGGGAGAGAGGAGATGGAAATGCAGAGAACGGAGGAAGGTAGGGAGACGGGGAACCCGAGGGTGCCGGGAGGAGAGGAGCGAAGGAGCGGCGGGCCACGCCCCGGCGGCAGTCAGCCGCTGGTGCCGGCACGGAGTGCCCGGACCGACCTCCCCGGAGTCCCCTAGGCGCACGCTTTCCGCCGCCTCAGCTCTCGCAGCCGGGTCCCGGGCACGCTCGCTGTTTCCGGGACCACAGCGCCCCCGACCGCGCCCGCACGAGCGCGCTTCCAGCAGAAGAGCACCGGCACAAAGCGGCCGCACACAATGGCCTGGCCCTGCGCGCGGCGCAAACTGCAGCGTGGCCCCCGCGCAGCCGCACTCACATCTGGGCAACGAGGGCCGGTGGTCGACGGGTACCCATATCTTCTGCACCCGGCTCTGTGTCAGTTCCAAGGGCATCTTCGCAGCTGCACTCGGCGGCCCGCCACCCCGGGAGGAGATTCCGACGTGGGGAGAAGGACGGCCGCCGACCCCGGGAACAAAGGAAAGTAGGGGTGCGTGCGCCGGCGCGCGGTCGGGCGCTCGCTGTGCTGCTTTGGGAAACGTGCTTTGTGCTAAGTCCTGGACGCTAGCCCGTAGGGGGATCGGCGGAATCTGCGAGGAGCGCAGAGCTGTGGCTGCCAGCACGGCCGGCTTGTCTGCTCTGGAAAGCCCCGGGATGCTCGGGCGCAATGACAGCCGCGATCCCGCCGCACAGCACGCCCGCTTGCCTGCTCTCCAGCTTTACCAGGATGCCACACGCAGCGCCCGGCCTTTTAAAGTATCCGGGCCGGCAGCACAGCTCACGTCAGCTCTGGGCGGGCCGCATTCTTTGCGTCCCAGCCCCCTTTCACGTGGGAAGAAGATAGGCGAGCCAGGAGGCGGCCTGCTAGCGCCCCCTGCGGGCGGGCAGCAGCAGCACGCCCTGCTCCTGCTATCTAGTCCCAGGTCCTAAGAGAACGCGGAGCCCTGGCTTGCTCTTCACCCTTGTTAGACCTTTCTCTGGTTACCCCTTAAGAAGACCTGAATAATTCCGAATAATTTCTGGTCCCTAACCTGAATTGTGCTGGGAGAAGAGCAACGTGGTGCGCTGTCTAGTGCGATGTCAACCCCTGCAGCCCAGACCTCTGAGCTTTCTCCGTGTAGTAAATAAAATTGGGACTTCATTCCCACCTGAAATCCATTACCAGACTATAAACTCCTGAGTAACTATTAAGCGGCAACACCTTGGTAGTGCAAACTCAAATTGTATGTTGTTTTCCCTGCACACACTACAGCCTTCCCTCGCCACATTTTGATATGTCCGAGCCATGCTTTATCGGTCCTCACGGTTTGCATCGGCTCGTGATAAATGACAGCCTTGTAGTCAGATCTGAGGCTGTTCGGTGAAGGTCTGGAGAACTCAGGATGAGGACCACCGCCCTAGCAGGGGCACAACATGAATGGCTTTAGCAAGCGAAGTCTCGGCATAGAAGCGTAGCCCTGCCTTGCGGAGGGGTGCACACTTTGCGCAGAGGCTGGGCTGTGATTGGAGGGAAGGAGACGGCGCTCGCTGAAACCCACAGTGCAGTGGAAAAGTCTGCGCAGAGGCTGCCACACGTCGCTCACGTCCTGCATGCTCGTCTGGGAGGGCGTCCGCTCCCTGGCGGCGGGCACAGCTGCTCCCGCCCCACTCTCCAGCCCCGCCCGGGCCTCCGCCCTCTCCAGCATCCGGGTCGCCCGGAGGGGCCCTGAGCGCCCAGGCACCTACCTGGCCCGTGTCCCCGGGGTCTCTGGGTTCCGACCCCGACTCCCTCACCCCACCCTGGCGCGCCGCCCTCCCCCGAGCCCCAGCTCCCCACATAACTTTGCTGACTGTCTGATTTCCGTGCTCGGCAGCTGTTCAGAAACCTGATGCATTGCATTTGTACTTGTTTTTCTGCAGTGGGAGCAAATGCCAGAGGTGACACCCTAGAATTCCCACGTGAGAAGAGATCCCCACACCACTCCCAAAATAAGAGTGGGCTGACCCAAAGGGGAAAACAAGTCAGCGTGTACCAGCACCACAAGGAAGCATTCCAAGCATTAGGATTTGCAGGAGTCAGTGAGGGAGTCAGACTGCCCAAGGCAGCACCCTGCACCTGCTGGCCTGCTGCTTGCCCACTAAGATTTTGCACACTTATAGGCCAGGTAAGCAGACCAGGTGGCATTCTTCCCCCCCTCCAAGATTTTGAACACAATATTGGTTTCAGCTCAGGGGAGTCAAGGGTGGGGATCTGTGCCAGAGGAGGCACATCTTTAATCTCTTGACCTAGATAACAGCATCTGACCAGGGTTGGCAATCAGGCAACTAGACAGTTGACATCCCCAGAGGTCCCAGTGCAGACAGGGCACTTTCCCTGCCTGTGTGTCAATAAAGCTGTGGACCTCCAGAAAAAAGACTGGTTCTTGCCCAGTCACCTCCTGCACCAGCTATGCAGCAAGCAAACAGAAGTCAATTTAATCCCCCTGCTGCTTAGGATAGGTAAATGCAATCAGAGTGCATGAGGGACAAGGACAAATTCACACTTGAGAGAGTTTTTAATGGCCAGCTTGAAATGCTGGAAGCCTTTACAGGCCTGACTAAATGACAGCCCAGGGAGATAAAACTACTTCACTACCAAATTGCTTAGAAGTAACCCAACTGTAACTATATTCCAAGTACTTGCTGTTTTGAGTTTGCTGGTGTAGAGAGCCTCCTAACTCTTTTACCTAGTTCTGCTAATGGCTCCCTATCTTCTCAAACATGGCCTTCAAGAGCTCCACCAACTCCCAAGTCCCCAAACTGGAAAGATACAATGAGTGCAGCCTGTCAGAAAAGGGTGCCAAGATTGTAACCATTTCTTTAGTACATGATATTTTTACAGCCAGAACAACTCCAAGGGCTTGGGCAGACAGGATTTCTTTTTGATTCTGGGTCACAGCCCTCTACCTTATTTAAGCCATGAGGTCTTCAAGTCCATCTAGACAAAATCCCATGCTTCATGTGAAGGAGTAAAAGGAGGTTTGGCGATTAGAGAGGTCAGGGAAGCAGGTCAAAGATTAAGGAAGAAAGCCAGTCAGGAACAGTGTTTGTTTGGGGAGTAGGTATCTTCTACTTGACACAGACAGCAGACTGGGAGACTCATTCATTGAAGATCCACCCTAACCCAGGTTGCTGAGAGGAATCCTCAAGCAGGGGAAGATCCGACAGTGATCTCACCCAGAACAATTAAGATGTTTGGAAGCAAAGAGCAGAGAAAGACCGTCATTGTGTAGACAAGACATTAGCAGGGCAATTACTTAAAACGTTACCAAGTGCTTGGTGGAGTGCTTGCAGAGCAGAATTCACTGAGCCAGTTCCACTCTTAGAGAAAGGACATGGAAGTAGTTTTCCTCCGTGACTTTTACTCCTAGTTTGCTCTGCTGGCCGGTGTCATCTAACCCTTACCAGCACTCCAAGCCACGACTATCACGACAGCAGTAAGTGACATCATTTGCATGATCCTGCACCAACTAGTTAGATTTAATCGATTAAACCATGCCAGTGCCTTACCTCCTCCCCAGGGAGAGAAAGAGGGTAACAAGCTGTGGCAGGCTGTGAGCAATCAGAAGTTGCTAATTAGACACAAAGTGTCATTATTCTCTCCTCTAAAAAATCCCATGGATGAGAGAGTAAATTTGAGATACCACATAAACAGCAAAACCAAACCCTTCTATCACCATCCATCCGAAGAGGGGGAGGGGTTTTTTAAATAAAATATTTGTAACTTACATGAATGGGAATAGAGACTCAAGACCACCCATACAATGTCACACATTCAATTCAAAAAACAATTCATGAGGGGCTGGAGATGTGGCTCAAGTGCTCACCTAGCTAGCATGCATGAGGCACTGGGTTCGATTCTCAGCACCACATAAAAACAAAATAAAGATATTGTATCCACCTAAAACTAAAAAATAAATATTTTTTAAAAAACAAAAGCAATTCATGAACTCCTAGCAACTTTATTCATATATGCCAAAACATGGAAGCAATCAAGATATCCTTTGTTAGATGAGTGAACAAACTGTGGTACATCCAGACAATGGAGTATGACTCAGTGCTAAGAAGAAATGAGCCATCAAGCCACTAAAAGATGTAAAGAAGCCTTAAATGCATATCACTAAATGAAAAAAAAAAGCCAAACTGAAAAAGCTACTGACTGTAAGATTCCAACTATAGATGCTGTAGTAAGGAGGGGCAGAGATGTTTATTGATCTGGTAGTGAACCTAAAATGGCTCTAAAAGTCACATCTATTTTAAAAAGGAAAGAATCCATTCTTTTTCTACACAGGTCATTACTTTTTTCTCCAACCAAGTAGACTTCACTATCTCATTGAGATGTAAAGAGGGTCCACTGTGGCCAAAGCCTTGCTCTGGGTCAATCAACTCAAATTGTGCGAACCACATCCCACCAAACCCAAGTTTCCATTTCCTTCTTCTTAGTGCATGTTACTCCACCTGGTATGGTCTTTGCCTTTTTTTAATGACACTCCTGAGCTTGGGATCATGCTCCTGAAACTGCCTTAGTGTTTCATATCTAGCATCACCCTACCCTGCTGCTTCAAGAGGATATTAGGGTCTGGATAAGGCTCCTTACCCAACATCAAGACATAAGAGTATTTTTGTTAAAAAAGTATTATATTGTGAGTTCAAAAATCGTCATGCTTTTTTAAAATCAGATGTCCTATGATCTAGTTAGCAGTGTAATACCAACATCAGTTGACTGGTTTTCATATTTTACTACAGTTACATAATATGTCAACATTGGAGGAAGCTGGGTGAAAGGTTCATGGGACTCTTACTTTGCAACTTCTTTAAAGTCTATAGTTGTTTTAAAACAAAAAGGTAACTTTTTAAAAAATATTTAAAGCAGTGATATCTCTGTTTGCTCAAATTCTGGAGGGGGGTATATAGATTGTGTAGATTTGGGCATTGAGGGGGAAAGACTTGGCAGAAAAATGGTCAAGAACTCCATACTGATCTGCATGTGTTGACAACACCATTGTTTCTTACAAATGACACACACATGTACACATGGAATTTGCATGAATCCTGCACCT